ATCAGCCGAATGACCCGGGCAATGCCCGGGGTTTTCCCGATTAAATGCTTTTATTCAAATACTATTCGTTACAATTATAAATTGGCGCCGTGGATGTCATTCTTGTATAATATATAAATGAGTTTGTAATTGTAAAAAAATGCATGCAAAAAAAATGCATCGGCCGGGAATAGAACCTGGGCCGCCCGCGTGGCAGGCGAGCATTCTACCACTGAACCACCGATGGTTATGAGAAATGGCCATATTTGGGTATTTATTCCATTCAAAAAAGCAAACGGTGACAGAATTGATTAAGAATTGTTGCTTGATTATGACGCTGATAACTGTATATAAACCTATTGTTGTTTTCTTTCTGCCTGATAATTTTACTGTTAATTTTCATGTATTGTATACATTTGATCATTAATAAATTATGTTTGAGGTATCAAAACTGCCTTTTTGTTCAAACACAGCAACGTGTGAACAGGTACAGTTAGGTGTAGCAGAGTATCAAACATAAAGTTATCTTGACAAGTATAGATTCAGTAGGGGTTGGATGTTTGCTAGAATTGTTTTAACAAATGTTTGTTAGGCAAACTTTTACTCGGGTAAAAACCGGAAGAAGCCGGGTACATTCACTAACTACAGTTATTTACAAATGTTCGTTTATGGTAAGATACTATTCCTTTAACTTCAAATTACCGAGTGGACCAATTAATATTGATTTTATTCAACTTATCGAGTATTTTTCAAGGGATGGAGAAAACATTTCAAATTATCGAGAGTATAGACAAGTATAGATTCAGTAAGGATTGTATGTTTGCTAGAATCATTTTGACAAATGTTTGTTAGGCAAACTTTTACTCGGATTAAACCGGGCGAAGCATGGTACATTCGCTAATGCTTAATATATGAAACGTCCTTACGTTTTGCCCATGAGGGTATGAGAATATTAAAAGAACGTGGAGTAAGATATGATCAAAGTACTAAATGAAGCGTATAGCATGACACAAGGAAAAATTCGAGAAAACTATTAAAAAATAATAAAAAGGGTAGTTAGGTTCAGGGTTAGAAGGAAACTGGGGTAGAGGAAAACGTGGTCTTACCTTCATAGTCGTTCCAGAAACCTGAACACACCATTTCCCCATTAGTTCCATGCTGTCAAATGTCAAACACATCAATCAAATATATTTCCTATTTTCGAAACCATTATAGACGTGTAGGATTATTTTTTAAAAATAAACAATTTCTACTGCCCTTACTGCAATGGAAAAAATAATGGGAGGACATGGCTTATCAGTGGTGAACCCTCCCAGCGGTTTCGCCAGTCTAATCTACCATACCGCTGTTATATTGCATTTTTCAATCTTCCTTTTATAGTGATACTGATGCTAGACTCTTTGAATGGGTATTTTAGATGAACAATAGACATAAGCTTTGAGGACAGCAGAATTACATATAATTATAAATATATAATATGCTTCGAGCAATCGCTCTTCCTCAAATATCAATTTGTTTCTTTTATTATAACAATTATATTGCGATGCATTAGCGCTTATGTACATAATTCATTTAAAACACCCATTCCAAGAGTCTAGCATCAGTATCACTATAAAAGGAAGATCGAAAAATGCAATATAATAGCGGTATGGTAGATTAAACTGGGGAAACCGCTGGGAGGGTTCACCACTGATGAGCCAGGCCCTCACATAAATGTTTCCATTGCAGTAAGGGCAGTAGAAATCGTTTATTCTCAAAAAAAGAATCATACGCGTCTATAATGGTTTCGAATTTTGATAAAAGACGGCACGATAATGCATTGTAATAGATCCTATTTTGGAATACGTTTTTCCTATATAAACACACACATATACCGCTTTATTAAGACCACCGGTCGCGGAAAAGTAGGTAACACACTCGATTCCCGACAGCCATGAACCGGGATCGAATCCCGCGTTAACATTTTGTTTATTTTGTGATTAACCTTCACATTCATTGTTGTAAATATCATAAACTAGGTTGCTCTTGTTGAGCGGTACCTAATAAAGTGATTTTGGAACAAAGAACCACCAGTCTTATACAGATTCACCGCAGGAAGAAAGCATAGATAGAGCTCCTATAAATTATAATTACACTCATGGACAAAGTTTGAGGAAGTAGAAAGTCTTTGATGTCGCTATTGTCTGTTTTTGAAGGAGACAAAGGCAATTTTGTTCGCACTTGGTTATCTCGTGCGTCTTCAATAAAGTTTACTGTAATATCTTCCAGAGTTAATGTCTGAATCCCGATATACATGCTATAAGGTACAACTTCCTTAAGTTTTTTCCATGAGTGTATCTTTCAGAGTTATTATCTGAATCCCGATATACACGTTAAAAGGTACAACCTCCTTATGTTTTGTTCATGAGTGTATCTTTCAGAGTTAATGTCTGAATCCCGATATACATGTTAAAAGGTACAACTTCCTTAAGTTTTGTCCATGAGTGAATCTTTCAGATTTATTGTCTGAATCCCGATATACATGTTAAAAGGTACAACTTCCTTAAGTTTTGTTCAAGAGTGTTTATTTCAGATTTATTGTCTGAATCCCGATATACATGTTAAAAGGTACAACCTCCTTATGTTTTGTCCATGAGTGTATCTTTCAGAGTTATTGTCTGAATCCCGATATACCTGATAAAAGGTACAACCTCCTTATGTTTTGTCCATGAGTGTATCTTTCAGAGTTATTGTCTGAATCCCGATATACATGCTAAAAGGTACAACTTCCTTAAGTGTTGTCCATGAGTGTACACTTTAATGAGACATTATTACGATGATAACTATAATAGTGTAAAAAAAAGGATTGTTTTCTTCAGTGATGAAAGCTTTTCCAGTAATTTTCATTAAAATACTTTAGGCATCATGAGTTTCAAAATACTGTTATATAAATATAATATTATAGCTGACAATAAATTTTCTTAAAGGTTGACAAGTCTCCAACTTGAATAGATCAAAATACAACCTACTAATAGATTTCACTATTCATTTTATGGCGAAAATATTTCTACAGGCTTCGGTCTCAATTCTCAATTTTATTCCTCGATATACAAGGTTTTCCCAAAAAATTCGTAAACACTGGCAAAAATTTGAAAAACCAATATTATTTGCCATTATTATTTTTCGCCGTTATGTATAACTAGCCGAATGACCCGGGCAATGCCCGGGTTTTACCCGATTAAATGCTTTTATTCAAATACTATTCGTTACAATTATAAATTGGCGCCGTGGATGTCATTCTTGTATAATATATAAATGAGTTTTGCATCGGCCGGGAATCGAACCCGGGCCGCCCGCGTGGCAGGCGAGCATTTTACCACAGAACCACCGATGTTTATAAGAAATGGCCATATTTGGGTATTTATTCCATTCACAAAAGCAAACGGTGACAGAAGTAAGAATTGATTGATTACCCTGATACTTGTATATTTTAATGGCTTTGAATTATGTATAAATATGTGTATTATTATTATTAATAGTTTCGAATTTTCATAATAGATGGCGCGTTAATGCATCATAATTGTATTATGTATTCGCAGTAATATAATTATTGGTCAAGTAATAAGAAAAAACAACGTTTTAAGAAAAAAAACGAACTTTTTGGACAATCTTATATAAATAAAGCTATCATTTATTTTTCCGTTTTGGAGGAATCTAAACTGCATTGATTATAAGGAAGCTTATATTGTTAACACAAAGCAATAACGCGCCATCTATACATATAAAATAAAAGGATTTAAAAGCGCGAATGTTTCTTTTATACATAAAACGAACTTCTACTTAGTGTAGCATATAAAGGCAGAATGATCCAATACAGTATTAGAGCTCTGAGAAGCGGTCTGGTGGATTAAATTGGCGAAACCGCTGGGAGGGTTCACCACTGATGAGCCAAGCCCTCCCAATATATTTTTTCATCGCAGTAAGGACAGTAGAAGTTCGTTTTATGTATAAAAGAAACATTCGCGCTTTTAAATCCTTTTATTTTATATGTAAGCTTATATTGTATTTAAAATTTATTTTATATTTTATTTAGGATATTAGTTTATCAAATAAGTGAATTCATAATAATAACTACATGAATTCGTAGATGAGAAAAGAACATATAAAAATTTTAATCAATTTTGTAGATATATATACAACTATCTTTTGAACTGGGAAAGAGAGAGAAGGAAATATTGAGAGAATTGCTTTTGTATGTTTGTCTTTTTTCTCCTTGTATATAGCCAATTTGTTATGATGTTAGAAATGTATTGACGCAAATATCCCTGAGTTTGGGATATCGTGTTATAGGATGTTAATAAAGTTAAATAAGTTATAAATAGATTGCTATAATAGAATTAAGTTTGATATATTTATACTCTCATGAGAAAAGGGTACATTTTTAAATGCAAAAATGGATGAATTATTTGTAAAAACAAACATTCCAAAGCTTTATCCCTTTTGGAATTCCATCATTTTTGCGTTCAAACTTTTATTATACCCAGTTTACAACGAACCACGGAAATTTGAAGGGATTTTTATCAATAATTTGAGTGGTTGAGGACTCTAGCTGTCACTGTGGCAAGGAAACCCAGGACTGAGACACCTACTGCTGGAATGCCCACTCTTCTTTAGCGCTAGACAACAGACAGAAAATAATGTTGTAGATCTATATCAATTCGTAAATATTAGAGATAATTATCACAGATTTAACCATTTTTTAAAATATATTTATGATTATCTTTCTAACCTGGAAGAATCAGGTTTCTAATATATCTTATTGTTATTTATTTATTTTCTTGTATAATATTTTTATAACTTATAATACAATATTATGCGGATTATGATTGTAAATCGACGTTCGAAAAGTTTACCGCAAGTGTTTCTTTTGAACGAAAATTCGTAATTCATTTTAAGGAGAAATAACAACTATTCCTATCCTTAGGGATGAAGTATGAAAGGATGAATTGTGAAGAGTAATGATCAACGGGAAAATAAAAGTGTCCAGGGTAGCCTAGTGGACATGGTATCTGTCTGGTAAGCGGAATACTGTAGGTACGGTTTCCAATCCCTGGACACTTCTTTTTTTCCATTCATCATTATTCTTCACAATTTATCCTTTCATACTTCATCCCTAAGGATAGGAGAGTAATGATGAACGGAAAAATAAAATAACTGCTTCTGTTTAAAAATGTAAATCGAAGCAATTATCCCTAGCTGGGATATCGTGTTTTGTGTGTTGACATAAATAAATGAGAAAAGGTACAAAAGAAAAGGTTTATCAATCAAGATAGAATGTTGTTTGTTAATCAACACAATCTGGAGTCCCTACTAGAGATGACAATACCAATTATCGGGTACAAATCAATACAGAGCTGAGTATTGGTATCTGATAATGTTGTTGTGGGGACTACGTATACATTTCTGTAGACATCATTGTAAATATCTACAACAAAAAATTTCAATTAAACTTTTTTTTTGCTTATTCCTATTACATGTGGTAGAGGCCATAATAATCATTTAAAATATGTTCCAATGGCTCCCAATTCTTGCAAAAGTCCAACCACACCAGCAAATGCAAGTAACCAAATGGGGCTCTGGCACATTTGTAAGTGCAAAGTCGAACTGCTTTTCATATGTGTAAACATATACTGCACTTACAGTAAAAGCAGTCGCCTACAGGGCTGAGTGTTTGTATCTGATAATAAACATTCCTGTATATTATTATAAATATCTACAACAATAAAATTCATTAGACCTTTTTTTAATTTTGCTTATCCCATTACATGTGGTAGAAGGTGGGTAGAAGTAGGCGACTGCTTTTACTGTAAGTGCACTACATGTCTACACATGTGAAAAGCAGTTCGACTTTGCACCTACAAATGTGCCAGAGCCTCATTTGGTTACTTGCATTCGCTGGTGGGGTTGGACTTTTGCAAGAATCGGGGGGCATTGGACATATATTTTTTAAATCAGAAAAAAATGCCCAATACGGAAATCGAACCCGGGTCGTAGCGGTTGAAAACCAACGGTTTAGACAACCAACCCCCAATTAAACCTTAATTTAAGTTCTTCTATAATATGTAGCCAACCTATCTTCTTTATAAATCATGAAAAGCCAACCATGTACGCGTTTCGGGCTGTTGGTCCTTATCAGCTTGGTGCAGACTGTAACTTATCGACCAAAAAGAAGAGAATTGTTCCAAGAAGCTTTTCAATAAATCAAGATATGGATTGTCAGTGTCATATTTGCATAAGTACTCTAAATATATGCAAAAAGGTAAAAAAAGAGAAACTTTCAGGTAGTGATATAAAAATAAAATAGGCATATCCTGATATGAACATATATGGTTTAATTAATACAAAGCAATAACGTGGCATATACGAGTATATATGACAATTGAAGACATTATAAGACGCTAACCTATGAAAATGGCATAAAAATGCTACCATCACGTTGGCATACGTGCTGTGATTCTAATGATGCCTACTTTGTTTAAATAAACACATTTTTGGCTTAGATGTGGTGTCTTTAATTGGGCGCGTCCAAACAGACATTATTTATGGGACAACCTGTAACTATCCTTACTACGATTAAAAAATATTGGGAGGGCTTGGCTCATCAGTGGTGAACACTTCCAGCCGTTTCGCCAATTTAATCTACCAGACCGCTTCTTCAGAGCTCTAATACTGTATTGGATCATTCTGCTTATATATGCTACATGAAGGGTGGAATCTTAGAAATGGTATTTAAGCAAACTATGAATGAATATGTTTTGTTGCAACAACACATGAAAACTCCGAGGATAAGTTTCTTTATTTCATAAATAATATCTCGAGTTTTCGGATATCGTAAACCTAATTACGAATTCGTCTTATACACTCCTGTCGAAGGGTTTACGATACCCGAAAGCTCGAGATATCATTTATGAAATAAAGAAACTTATCCTCGGAGTTTTCGGGTGTTACTGCAACTTATACATCAGAGGATTCTATCTTACGATTTTATGAATGAATATGAATAATAAAAAAGAATTTTCTGGAAACTTTCCGAGTTCCAAATCATCAGTCGGTTCCTTTTCATATTTTTACTTTTTACTGGAATATCGTTCTTAAAATATATCCACTGCGGGCCATCAATCTCCTTTCAACAAGACGTCCTAAAACAGAGCATGTTTCCACACAATAAATTTGATGTATCGTTTTTTATTCTTCCTCTTTCTGAACCAAATAAATAATATTTCAAAACTTCTCGAATATTTTTGCATAATAGTTTGGGAATAGTTTAAAAGTTTCTCTCGATTATTTATTATAGTAAATATGTAATTATATTCCCCTATTGATTTACATATATATATGTTATGATACATAAGCGCGCCATCTGTTATCAAAATTGGAAACTATTATAGACGCGTATGATTCTCTATTTTAAAATAAACAATTTCTACTGTCCTTACTGCAATGGAAAAATTAATAGGAGGTCCTGAAGGGCTCATCAGTGGTGAACCCTCCCAGCGGTTTCGCCAGTTTAATCTACCAAACCGCTGTTATATTGAATTTTTCGAACTTCCTTTTATAGTGATACTATAAAGAGTCTAGCATCAGTATCACTATAAAAGGAAGTTCGAAAAATTCAATATAACAGCGGTTGGTAGACTAAACTGGCGAAACCGCTGGGAGGGTTGACCACTGATGAGCCAGGGGCCCTCCCATTAATTTTTCCATTGTAGTAAGGACAGTAGAAATTGTTTATTTTAAAAAAGAATCATACCCGTCTATAATGGTTTCGAATATATATATATATGCATATATTGCCATATAGTTATAGACTAATGATTATCTTTTTTTCTTGAATGAAATTTTAAAATAAATTATTTTCGAATTCCTTCCACGTGTTAGAATGTAATGAAATATTCGAGTTAAAATCAATGATTGCTGATTTAGAATAAATATTTTTTGGTTACCGGGATTTTTCATTTAAATACAGCCAAAAATGGTCAACAACACGAAGACGCAGTTGGTTGGCTTTACTTAATTTTTGAGGAGATAGTTTAGGTTGTTAAATTAAGAGGATTTGTCCATTTACACTCATGGACAAAACTTATGGAAGTTGTATCTTTTAGCATGTATATCGGGATTCAGACAATAACTCTGAAATATACACTCATGGGCAAAACTTAAGGAAGTTGTATCTTTTAGCATGTATATCATAATTCTGACAATAACTCTGAAAGATACACTCATGGACAAAACTTATGGAAGTTGTACCTTTTAGCATGTATATCGGGATTCAGACAATAACTCTGAAATATACACTCATGGACAAAACTTAAGGAAGTTGTACCTTTTAGCATGTATATTGGGATTCTGAAAATAACTCCGAAAGATATACTCTTGGGCAAAACTTAAGGAAGTTGTACCTTTTAGCATGTATATCAGGATTCGGACAATAACTCTGAAATATACACTCATGGAAAAACTTAAGAAAGTTGTACCTTTCTGCATGTATATCAGAGGATTCAGACAATAATCAAAAATATATTACCAAGTGTAAACAACCTCTGGCTCTTTCAAAAAGACAAGACGACCAGCGATATGAAAGACTTTCCACTTCCTTAAGTTTTGTCCATGAGTGTAAAACAAATGGGTTTACTTTCAATACGTGTCTAAATGCACACTATTGTGTTATGCGAGTACTGTCGTTTGAATTTCATTGGTTCATGTACCAAGCGAATGGCAGAGATACCTATGACCTCATGTGATATTTGCCTACTAAGGTGAAACACCTAAGGAGGAAGGCGGAAGAGAAAGGAATCAAGAATGTGCTTGGAATGGTTGGTTGTTATCAGAAGCTGGACATCAATGTGAAAAGCAGTTCCACTTTTGCGCTTACAAATGTGTCAGAGCCCCGTAGAATGGATACCTACAACTACAAGTTGAATGGCTGAGATACCTATGACCTCATGTGATATTTGCCGACTAAGGTGAAACACCTAAGGAGGAAGGCGGAAGAGAAAGGAATCAAGAATGTGCTTGGAATGGTTGGTCGTTATCAGAAGCTGGGCGTCACGGTTGACAGGGACGGCAAACATGGTTAATGGACCGTGAATCTCTATTATGGGATGGCAGGCTTCACTTCAAAGTAAAATCTGTCGGTTTCTCTAATACCATTCTTCGTTCAGTTGGTTTCGTCAACTTTTTCTTATCTCCTTTCTCTTATTATTCTCTAATTAATCTATTCTTTCCCCCCCAAAGTAATTTGATGAGGTTTCTTTTACAAAAAACAATTCGATTTCCGCATGGAAGAATCCATTTATAATCTTTTTTTTTCTTCTTCAATTTGTAACTTAATTACACATTTCTTATTGCCTCTAATTACATAGATAGTTAAATTGGTTTAGATACAAAAACATACTACTAAGATAAAATTTCACTTTGATAGATAATTTCTCTTAATTCTCTTTTTTTTTTCTTTTTTTGAGAAAAGATATATTGAAAATAGTTAAATATATTTTTTCATCAATTTTTTTAAATCTAATTTTATTCCTCCCCATTGAATATAACAAAATATTTTAAAAACTTAATTCTGTTGAGTTATGTGGCGCTGAGTCTGTTGTTCACACACATTAAATATGTTATAACAATTTGATAAAGGTTGGCGTTCAGCCAACTGAAATATTGGTAAAATAAATGATATTTTGATCCAATATATGCCTTTTTAATTAAAGTTATATATATATATGATTAAATGTGAAAATAAAGTACAAATGTGATATTATACCATGATAAGGTGCATAAATTATGAAAAAGAAAAAGGCATCTTCTTATCGTTGTATTTCATTGTTATATTCAAATTCCATTGGATGAAATCTCCTTGACACCATTTTTTACGATAGATGGCGCAAGCCATCAGCAACTTTCAGTTGCATAATAAGGAGATGCCTTTTCTTTTTCATAAAATAATTAAATGAAAAGAATTTGAACATATAATGCCTGAATTTTTCTAAAATTGGTATGTAAAATTGAATTGAAAAATATATATAATTATAATTCTACAAATATATATTCCTATTATCG